TCATGCGTCATACAAAAGAAAAATACTTATAAAAAAATGTATAAATTGAAAATATATATAGAAAGAATAACAAGAAAATGGAGCACAATAAGATTTTTCAATTCCAACAATTCTTTTAGAATATAATAATTTCTAGTGACTCCACTTTATCTATGTATTAATTAAAGATCGAGAGAAATTCATAAAAATGTTCAGATAAGTCATCATTCAAAAATCGAAAAACCGAAGAAACGATCGATCAAAGTCTTTTGCCGGCAATTTCGCATAACATTATCATTTTCCGCGCCAGAGCTTTAGAGCAGCGAGAGGGAAATGACAAAAGCGCGCAAATGTGTATAGTAATAGTATCATAAAACACAGCCATTCCTCATATTTCTGTATCTCGTTTAGCCGTAACCTCTGCCGAGAAAGCGAATTTAATACGCCGTTACGGCGAAAAGGGCTAACGAGCTTTGCCGAGCGATGCAATGTCGAGGTGCCAGTAAATTGGATTATAAAGCTTCGCGAGATATTCCACCTGTTTTGAATAACAGCGAATACGGGACAATGTTATGATAAAATTAAACGTAATGAGAGAGGAAGATGACGTGCACATATGTATATATATATATATATATATATATATATATATATATATATTGATTAGAGGTATATGCATATCTCGTATGCTCATTCTACGCACGCTCGTGAATACGAGAATAATCTCGATTCGCGACTCGATACACAGACACGAGAGCTACGCATTTCGCGAAGATTCCGCGGGAAAACCTCCAAAGAAAAACGACGAATGCGCACACGATGTTTACGTTTGATTTTCATACTATATATCTCGCAATTAGAATAAGACGCGTTCGCGAGCCGAAAATTCTATTTTTGATCGTCCATGAAAAAAAAAACGGCTGTATCTACGCAAAGAAAATTTTCTTTTAGAAGTAAGTTACCCCAATCATGTCAATCATTGGGACAATTTGGTATTGGAAGAATTTTATAAGACTTTCTCTAATTAACACGATAAAAAAAATATTAATATCTACCACAATAAGATATAAAATATGTTAGATTAATTTTTATAAAATTCTTTAAATATCATGTATTGTCCCACGATTACTATGATTTTAAATTCTAAAAGAACGACGACGTGTTATGTATAATTAAAATTTATAATTAAAAATAAAACTGTCTTCAAAATTCTTCAAAATCAATCTTCTTCAAAATTGAGCGAAGATATCCGCTTTCAATGTGCTTATTTTTTATCTTTTTGATCTAACACTGTTTTCTTCAATTTTAATAGTTATTTTTAAGCCTGTTATACGTTATGTGTCTTCTTTCTTCTGTTTCTTTTATATGTCATGTTGTGTATGTGTGTGTATTTATTTCGACAATGTATAACAATATTGTGCAAACGTCGCGCTGTCAGTCTCGCTCGCTTGCTCGAAATGATTTCTCTCTGATATGATAATTAAACGCACAATGTATTTCTCGAGAAATATATCGACTCATATCGCATTCCTGTGTATCTTTCTCTCTCTTTCCTGGCCGCTCTATAATAATCCTCGACCTTCCAACCCGCACATTTACATTTATCGCGATAAATAAAAGAATTATATTGCACCAATGTGCTATTATTCATGCTATACACACACACACATATATATATATATAAATATATATATATATATATATATATATATATATATATATATAAATGCGGTAACGCGCAGAAAAAAAAGAAAGAAAAACTCGAGGTGTAACGACACAACAAAGCATCAAGAATTGGAGCACGTTCTCTTCTTTGCCTTTTAGACGAAGCAAAGTAGCAAAGGCGTATCGCGAGATTACGGAATTAAACAATAAATGTCGATTACAGGCCGAGACGGAGTTGGCATTAATAAAACTTTCTTTCTTCTCCCTATCTATGTGTTATCTCTCGAGCGAATCAACGCTTCTCGTCAGAGAAAGGAACGCATCGTCCGAACAGTTATCTATTTCAAGTTCTTCTTCAAATTGTTCGAAAAAGTTATTTTTCTAAAATTCATGTACCAACAAATCTGAACCTTTTATTTGAACAAAAGTGACGCATTGAACGATTATTCTTATTAAAATTACAGAATTTTCTCTTCGAGTTTACCCTAAAAATCATGGTAATGTCGTGGGACAATATGGTATTGGAAGAATTTTGTAAGAGTTTCTCTGTTGTTAATATTTACCACAGTAAAATATAAAATATGTTCGATTAATTTTATTATGTATATAATAATATTTTTGTAGTAAATATTAATCAAAGAAACTCTTATAAAATTCTTCAAATACCATACTTATTGTCTTACGATTACCACATAAAGAAAAATTGTTGACTAAACCTTACAACTAAATTACTATTTTGTTAATTGAACATATATACAATATTAATATTTAAATAAAATATACGTTTCGTTAGATTTAGTGTTATATTTAATTTAAATATTTTTATATGTTTAATTAACAAATTAATATTTGAAAACGATTAAGGTAAGTTAATAAATGTTTTTCTCAGTACATGAATTTTAAGAGAAAAATCTCTCGGTGTAGTTTTGCTCCAAATAGAGAGAAAAAATATAGCCCCGAAAGAATATATATATATTCGTCCAATATATATCGTTCTTGTCGTCATAATTCATCGCTCGCTGATTGGAATTAATAAGATATAACTGACCTTCGACAGTCGAAAAAAATGGCCCGTCACGTTCATTACATGACGAACTCTCGTCGCGAAATATTGTGCATATCGACCCGTCCCTCGTACGTGCGTCAGTGCGACAAGAGATCGCACTATACACGTTAGAGACCATCGTCGCCGTTTTATTTTTACATGCGTACGCTAAGACGTTCTGTCACTTCTCTCGCGCTTCAAATTCGCCAGATTAGTGTAACGTTTCAATTAACGCTGTTCTCTTTCCCTCTCTCAGTCTTTCTTTTTCTATTTGTCTCAGTTTCTTAAATTCCCGACATCGCAGAATTCGAAGAAAGTTAAAGCGAAAACTCCAATTTCTTCGAAAGCATCGTTCTATTTGTAGAAAGGGTGATAAAAAATAAACACAAAAAATAGAAAAAATAGTCAAAAAATTATTTTCCGCACTCTCACACTGAAAAAAAATGTGTTAATTTGACTAAATGACTTTCAACTAAATTAATATTTTGTAATTGAACATATATTAATATTTAAGCCAAATACACATTTTGATAGATTTATTGTGTTATATTTAATTTAAATATTTTTATACTTGTATTCAATAACAAAATATTTAGTTGAAAGGTTTAGTCAAGTTAAATTTTTTTTCAGTCACTTTCTGTTTTTCCAAAACTTATAACTGAACTTTGGTTCTTCGATTGCATCATAATATTCAACACTAAATAAAGCTTCCTAATAGTTTAACAAAAGAAGAGTCGAGAAATAAAAATATTTATCTCAACAAAACAAACCGCTAAACCGACGTGCGTCCTCGACAATTTATGACATACGAGATCATTTTACAAGCGTAAATAACGAGACAGGTGTAAAACCAGTGTCTTCGAGTGTAGGAGAGAGAAAGCTCGAGCTAGAGAAAAAGAGAAAAAGAGAGACAGAAAGGGAGGGAAAACAAAAGGAGTAGCGACGAGGCCAAACGAATGTGGTCTCGCACTGTTAACGCGCGAGCGAACAAGATAAACACGCGCTCGCGCTCGCTCACGCTCACGCCTGCCTATGCACGCACACGCGCAAGCGCCTAGAAGTCAGCTGGTTAAAAACAGCTGTGCCGAAACGTCGAAGCGCGGCGGCGCAATGACGGATTAAATGTTCCCGCGACGATTGCGTGAATAAAGCTAGATACTGTATGTGACATCATCATCACGTCAATATAATGTCAAATATTCTAATAGGAGTCTCAAATGCAACAAAATATGCATTTCAAAATCTCTTTAAAATCTCTTTAAAAAAATACCTTAAAAATCTCTTTAAAATACCTTAAAAATCTCTTTCAAAATACATTTAAAATCTCTTTAAAAATATACCTTAAAAATCTCTTTAAAAATCTCTAAAAATCTCTTTAAAAATACCTTCAAAATCTTTTTAAAGATCTCTTTAAAATCTCTTTAAAATACCTTAAAACCTCTAAAAAAATCTCTTTAATATCTTAAAAATCTCTTTAAATCTCTTAAAAATAAATATCTTTTTTATTCTTTTAACATCTTTCGTCAGTTCTCGTGCATCAATATAAGATTATCATGCTAGATAAGCGAGCCAGCGAAATTTACCACATACATACATTCACAAAATCGTATATATGTACAAATACATGCTAGAAAAGCTGGATATATACAAGATTGTATCGAGAATCGGAAATTATGAAAAAGAAATATTAATATATCTCTTTGTGTAAACTCAGCGAAACGTTCATCATTATTCAAGATTACTTTTTGCCTATAATTTATTAAGATATAAACGTGTTTTAAACTATCAAAAGAATGATTCAAAAAAACAAGCTTGTTGTCCACAAAATATAAATATGACGAGGCTCATATGTATACAAATTATATATTTTATATATATATATATATATATATATATATATATATATATATATTCTTTATTTACCGACATCTGACCGCAAATTTGAATATAACGTTTAATCATCGTTCCTAGAAAATGGACAACAAAGAGAAACTGGAGAAAATGGTGCTCAAATCGAATTTTCCAGAAGGAAGAACGAGTCTCAAATAACAATGATCAACCGAAATCCGTGGTATACTTTCTTATGCAGCTTTTTCAGCACTCTGCACATACACACACACACACACACACACACATAAAAAGGCGCACGCGTGCGAGGAGGACAAGAGACGCTTTTGCAAGATCGCGTCCCGCTCGCACACGTGTGCGCCACTACTACGCAAAAACGAAAGGATGACAAGGGTTACTTATCGTGGTGTAGAGAGAGAGAGATAGGAAAGGGAGCTTTTTTAAAGCTGCTCTCCAAGGATACAGTTTGATAACGTCCGTGTCCATACGTCGCTTGCCGGCGCTGGGGGACGACATATTTATCGGTGCTCGTCGATCGTCGCGGTGCTGAATTCGGCAGGGGATCTTCCTCGCCCAGCAGCGCTGCTGTTAGCGTCCAACACCACAACCACCACCACCACCTCCTCCTCCACCACCTCCACCACCTCCTCCTTCTTCTTTCTTTTCCTCCTCCTCCTTGTTCCTCTCGTTGGATCAGCTGAGCCCGACAGACGGTCCGCCGTGGCCCGGAGGGCCTTCTTAGACGAACGTTTCTCGCACAATTTTTTTTTTTTTTTTTTTTTTCTTCTTCTCGAAAAGTTCACGCTGGGCGACCGTACTCCGACACTGTGGTAACGCGCACTTCTGTCCCCCGACGATAATGTAAACGAAGCGTTATATTCAGCACACTGTGAGCGGCCGAGAGAGAGAGAGAGAGAGAGAGAGAAAGAGAGTCAGCGTAAGAAAAAGAGGGAGCCAGAAAGAGAGACCGAGGGAGAGAAAGAGAGACGCTCGCACACACTGACGTATATATATATATACTCACACATACACAACATGGACGAACGGACGGAGGGAAGGAACGAAAAAAAAACAAAGACAGCGCTCGCAAGCACGACCGATCGACCAGTCGATCGACCGGATTCTCGAGCTCGAGCGAGGCCCTAACCGAGAAGGGCGAGAAACGCGTTTACGATTCGACGCAGATAAACGCGACGTGGAATAATCCAACTCGGTCCGCTCATAATCCTTTCTTCCTTCCTATCAGCGTCGCATGTCGCGCGCGTGCATATAAGTATATATATATGTATATATATATATATATATACACATACTTATATATATATATATATATGTGTGTGTGTGTGTGTGTGTGTGTGTGTGTGTGTGTGTGTATATATATATATATATATATGCGTATATGTGATGTATGCAATCTTTCTCTCTCCCTCGGTCGTCCCGAAGAAATAAAACTCGATTACTACCAGACGAGGACGATTCGCCTTCTGCTCCGCCTCCTTCGCGTCGTTGTTGTTGTCGTTGTCGGCCTTCCTTGTACGTGGACCAGAGGCCAGAAAGCACGAAGCTAGAGGATCATTTCGTCACCGTCGTCGATGACGAGTCCGTGTTTCACTCGCGGCTTGTCACTCTCTTTCTCTCTCTCCCTCTCTATCTCCGTCGCCTTTTTTTTTCCTCTGCTCGCTTTATCTCTGTCGTTCGCGTGCGCGTACACACAGAAAAGAAGTGTCCCCGTCCTCCTGCCAGAGAGAGAGCCTATGCCAATACCACCGTCGCGTAAACGCCTGTTCTTTCTCTCTCTCTCTCTCTCTCTCATACACCCCGCGACCTATCAATCCGCGATCTTCGCCACCATCTGATTCCGTTCTCGTCGCTTGCACACTGGACTCTCCTGGCTCGACCGACGCTGCTGCCTCTGACGAACGACGGTGACATTGCGCGCATGCGCATGCCGCATGACCGCTGGAGAATCATTCCACTCTGAAGTTTGCGAGAATTTATTTGATGCGCCATTTTCCATTTTAGGCATGTGGCGGGAATTTTGAATTTATTCGACCATTTATTACGTATTTTAATTTTATTTATATATGTCATTAATATAATTATTTTACATATATACTTTATATATATATATATAAAATTAATATTTTATATATATAATTTATATATATATATATATGTATATAATTTATATATATATATATATATATATATAAATATACATTTATATAAATAATTGATATATATATATATATATATATTTATATTATGATTTCAAAACTTACTAACACTTGCTAATAACTATTAAATGCGTCGTGTAAAATGGAGGAACGACTGCAACAAATTTATTTATTTAAAAAATGATTATATAATATATAGTGTTAAAAATTATTAAATTATATAAAACGTTGGTCGCGCAAAGTAAGATAATACTATACGTCAAAATTGCTTATAAATACAATTATTTTCAATACAATACATAGCATATTTCATAGAGATCTCTCTCATAATGATAAAATAATATTAATTAAATCATTAAAAGGCCCACATGTTGTTATCATATATATGTAACAATTTAAGTTGATTATACAAGCAAAGCAATCTTACATAAACTGTATTTGTATTCTTAGTTTAATAAATAGTACTAAATAATTTAGTGATTAATAAGCATAATATTAAGTCGATATATAGAAAAACTATTGCACGTTATTTGTAAATGCTATTTTTTATGATTACTACTTTATAAGTACTACATTAAGAGTGCTTCAGTGAATACATACAATCATTTGTAAAATATTATTATCAAACAATTTTTAATCTTTTTGGCTACAGATTCATGTAAAATGTCTTAGCTTTTTATAGTGCATATAAACAAGAACTTACATTGTATATGTTTAATAGTATATATGTAATAGAAGACTAATATTATTAAATAATAGACTTAAGTGGGTTGGCACATTTCGTACTATTTGTACGAAACTTTTGCATTTAACATGTACTTATAATATACAATTATATTATGTATACCATAATAAAAGATAATAAATACTGACTTTTAATACTATTAATCATGATTGAATGCATTGTATTGCAATGATAAAGATGAATGCCTAATAATGATATGTATAATATAATAAGTTATAATACAAGTTTTATAATTCGAATTGAAGTAAAGATTACATTCTTTTCTTCGCGTCTTATACATAATGTATATAATGGTAAGAGATAAGAATATACTTTCGCGAATTCTTAAGATAAATATACTACTAAATATACATCTACGTCTATTTCATTACATTGCTGATTAATTGCAATAAATCACTTATACAAATATCTATTCGGAACATCCTATAAGAAATGGAATGCTAAAATATTTTTTGTGTATTATTTTTTTTTAAGAATAACTATTTAAAATTGTTCTTCAGCTCATGATAAAATATATGAAGGTGCAATATTAAAAAATGTTCTAAATTAAAACATTCCAAAAAAAAGTTTTTTAACTTTTTTTCAACATTGAAACTTCATTAACAAACGAAATAGGTCTTTATAAGCTCTGTAAAAACTAATTCTCCTTATTAGATAGTCTACATGTTAAATACAGAAAATGTATATAATTATATAATGTAATATAATAATATTATATATATATATATATATATATATATATATATATATATATATATATATATATAACTATATAAATTATATATGTTTATCTAAATCTTATTTCTCAGTTATAAAAGAGTTATTTGCTCTTTCTACATAAAGTCATCTCATCATATCTGCATATAAAATATTTGATTCAAAAACGTTTGATTGTTTATTTACTATTTTTACCAAATTTAAGTACTCTAGAAATGTAAAAATATTCATATAACAATAATTTCATGTTAAAGAAAATATATTAAAATAAAACATGATTTATATCTACTATTATACTCGTGATTTTTTCAATATATTTCTAAGTACACAATTTAAATTGTTATACATCAGTTTTTGTTTCAATATAATACACACACACACACATACATACATACATACACATATATATATATATATATATATATATATATATATATATATATATATGCACATTGTGTGCATTATGCTATAAATGATTTATGATTTTATAAGTAATGTATAAAAGTAGATCATATTCATTCTAGGGCTTGTGCTTATGACATATACTAATAGAAAGATGAAATGACTTATATATTTTCGTCTATTATAGATAATATAATACTATAAATAGAGGTATATAACATACAAAAACATTGGGAGCAATAAATAATTGAATTTGGCATATAAAATTGTTACCATAAAAAATATTATCAGTCACTGCGTTCCTAATAAATAGTGAAAAATCTAATACAGTTCTATTTATAAATTCTAATTATAACAGTTAAGTACATTAAGTATAAGAAATTGCCATCTCTTCCTGCTTCTTACAAATGTACATAAATATAAATATGTACTTTATTCTATTGCTGTTTTTCGTGCAAACGCAGTTAGAGACACCATTTCATTAGGATCAGTTGGCAAAGGGGAAAATTCGATTTCCTCGCTAATACTGTTCTCTGGAAAGTTGAAATATATCTTTGCTTATTCTATAGTAGAATAAATATGTCAGAACAGTTTGGATCAAATTTAAAATTCAATATTAACACAAGCACAGAACATAACAAATCTCAAATATATCCTAATATTAAAAATATAAATATGTACTTACCAGATGGTTCAATTGGCCATTGCTTATGAGAAGGAGCGTAGAGACATAATAATGCAATGATGTAAATGTTCCACATACCATATACACCAGTGAAAAAGGCAGAAGTCATTTCCAACTGTAAATCTTCATCCCATTTCCACTGACCTTCTGCAACCTATGTCAGAAAAAATGTTACATGATATTAATTTCATATTAATTAATATAATTTATATGTAATCAAATATTTCATCAATTTTTTACCTGTCCTAATATAAAACCAACAACAGTTAAGGATGCGCATAATAACGTAGCAATCATCAAGAATTTGAAACGATATATAACTCCTTCGTAATGTAGACGTCGTGCTGAGCTCATACTGGGTAAAACAGCCCTCTTTGCGCTAATGTTCATAAATACTTTCCATATCATATAAAATAAGAATAACAGGTATATTCCGGCCGAGATACCAGCTAAGATAATAAAGGATAGCTATCGTTTATTCAGGAAAACAAATTTGGAAAATTATTTTAGATGTATTTTTGAAGATTTTAAAGTATAAAAAGCAATTTAAAGAAAAGGATACTGCTAATTTCGTTCCAATATCGGTGACCCAAATTGAATAGAATGGATTTCTCAATTGTACACCACGTTCACACATATCAAATATAAATAGTGAGAGACATCCAGTACCTACTGCAGAGAGATGTCGCCAATAACATTTTAATGAATTACTTTGTTCACCCTCCTAAAATGGACATTATAAAATTTTTAATATCTTTCAATGAGAATAAAGATTAATTATAATAGATAAAAAAGCTCACCTGAATCTAATGAAGAATAAGATGCATACATGAAAAAAATAGTTTATGATTATATGATTATCCTAATATAATTATGACAATAAGAATTGCAAATAATAATTAAGATTTTCTTACCATTAAATGTTCACCAGCAAATACGAGCCAGAATGATAACAATGTCGCATAAAATACTCCTTGTCGAATATCACCCAACAATAGCATAAAGGGCATATCAAAAGCAAGTGTCAAGTATTCCAAAGGCACTAAAATTATAATATAAAAAAAATTTATAAATAATTATCGTGATAAACAGAAGAATTTAGAAATGTGTAATATATAAAGTAATAATACGATTTAGAAATGTTAAGGCAGAACCCAAAGCCAAGAGCATATATTCCAAAAGTGCGGGCGATCTAGATAGCATGTACACTCTTCTCCAATACCAAGCCAAAACTAGTAGTACTATAGGGAAATAAACGGTCTTTAGACTCACCCACACTTTCGTGAATCCACCGTTTTGATTAATAGCCTACATCATAAATATATCAAGTTTAATAATTAAAATTTTATTAGCACTATACTAAAATTTTACATTTTTATACTCACTGTAAGCCATAAATCAACATGTCCCAATCCCTGGTTTTTAGTGTCAGAGGGAAGACGAATATTTAATAAGTAATAATCATGATACAAAGATCCCAATTCAAACAATGGTATGACATGACAATTGTAATTATACTTTTCTAGTGGCTAGAAAAAATTACAGCATTATGTTTTTATATTCATATATGATTATATATAAGCATGTATAAAGTACAAGCTTGAAATAGTAGTACTAAATATCAGACATGTTTACCTTATCTATACTGCAATCTAAAATTCTTTCTACAGTAGAAGCAGCATATGGTTTCCATACATCTTCCGGATCACCCTCATTTCGATAAGCTAGTCGTGCATCCAATGTTATTATTGTCCTAGGAGCTAAAAATAAAATAAAATGTCAGAATAATAATTAATAATTAAAATGTTAATAAAATGTTAATAACTGTTATATTACCAATTTCAATCTGGCTGTTATACGATATATCCACTTGTAAAACTCCTATCAAATTTTGTTGCCATCTCGAATAATCGAGTATTATACCGTTCCGAGGTATAGGCATCTAGAAAGAATGTATTTATAGTATATTTTTTATAGTCAAATAGTATTATTTTATAATATAATTCTATAAATTATGTACCTGAAATGTATACACAACTTGGTATGCTTGCTGATAATTAATTTGATCTGCCAACTCTAAGTGTTGCATGTCGACTTGAGTACAAGAATCATTTCCTCTAGAATAAAACCATTCATTTTGATCAGATCCATTAACACTAATATCTTCGCACGGTGTACCAAGAATGTTTTGGCTACTAGCAGGTGTAGGTGCTGGAAAAAAGAAAAAACATGTCTACACATATTTTACTATATATTTTTTTACACAAATTTATCCCAAATATAACATCTTATATATTTTATTTTATTTATTTCCATTACTTGTATTAATTTCAATTTTATATTAATAATATGAGTACAATAAATTATAAAAGAAAATTTTCACACTTAGCAGCAAAAACATCAAATAAATATATTCCTAAAATTTATGAAAACCAGTTTTTCATTACTACTTTATCACATAAAAGCTATATATAAAATAAAATGCAAAAAAATACAAAAGAAAAAAAAAGAAGAAATATATACTTAGAACATAATACACATTTCTTATAATATTAACAAAGACACCTGTGAGCATAGTTATTAATGATGCAAGAATTAATTTGCTTAACAAATTGCTTACCAATCAAGCCGCCTATCAGAAAACAAACAATTTGTGCGATGATCAAAAGCATCACCAGCACTGAGAGCTTCTTGCCGCTCAGGTTCTCGATTATGGTGCCCTGCATTTTCGTATATTCTCACGTGGTTGTCCAGCGACTCGAATCGCGATCGATTTACACAAAAATCTTGAAAGCGTCGCGACGCCGAATCCCTACGACCGGATCGGATCAACGCGGACGCGAACAGACAGACGCGGACAGGAATAAATTCGTCTTTCGGCACCGGGGTGGTCTTTCAAGATGGAAGCCGCCGTTACCACACAAAGGAAAATATTCACCAACTCGCGGCATTCGTAAAATTTCGAATTTCGAGATATCGAACTTCCAAAAACTTTTAATCGATGTATCAATGTATCAATATTGCATCTTTAAGCGACGTATCGATACATCGATATCGCACTCTAAGGGAGGATTCATAATTCGTATTGAGTTAGCCGACAATCAACGCAATTTAAAAAAATCTCCTTATGGAATCGTTTGTATTTCGTATGAAGATGTTTGAAGTGAGATTAAAAATGTTTGTGAGTAATTAGAATAATTATAAAAAATTGTTCTTCTTTACACTATGTATTTAGCCGATATAACAAAATATTGAAAAATTTTTTTACGGAATCGTTTGTATTTCGTATGAAGAGTTTTGAAGTACAATTAAAAAGGTTTGTGAGTTATCCAATTAATTTTAATTAAATATTTTTAGATATTAAAAATTAGCCGGAAGATATGTAAAATGGCCGCCGCCCATGCTCAATCGTGATTCGTTGGCTATATTACTAGAATTTTCTCATGAGTACTGATCTTAAGTGTAACTACACATGCATATACATACTAAACGTACAGTTTAACCTTAACCATGGTTGGTGAAATTGGCCCTAATAAAAAAACTTATTATATTTTTTATTGCAAAAGCTGTGTACAAACTTTTCTGATTACTTGATATTAAGAATTGAATATTTAATTTTTACCAAGAATGGTTATACAGTATAAGTAAAAATAAAATATTCAATTCCTAATATCAAGTAATCAGAAAAGTTTGTACACAGCTTTTACACAATAAAAAATATAATAAGTTTTTTTATTAGAGCTAATTTCAGTTCTGTGAAGTTAGCCTACCAAAATTAGATTTCCAAAGTTTCAATAATTGAAATCAATAGTTGGTCTTTTATTGATCATTGTTGGTCATATTTTAGCTTTTGTTGGTTATTAGTTTGATTGTTATTAAAAAAAGAAATATCAATGTGAAATTAGCCTACCTAAATATACAATTTTAATAGATTTTAATTAATTATACGTCAAATCGATAGGAAATCGATTGTTGATTCCAATTATGTCTTTAGAAATGATTGTTGGTCGATTATTTACTAATTATAACAAAATAATTATTTTTCAATTGCTCACATATACTGCGTATGCGCATATATACTGCACATGCTGTTTCCAATCATTAAGGTAGTTCTATCGCTACAATATCAACTAAAAGTTTTGCCTCTAATCGATAAGAAAATTCATCGTTTATTACCATCGACATATAGAATGGACTGAGCATCGCGATGGGTAAGCGCGCGCCTGCTTTAGAGTGAGAAGTACTACATCTGAGGCCTATGTTTGTCTCTCTTTTTGCAGGGCCGTCTAAAAAAATTGCGGACCATGTGCATTTTTCTATGAAATGTGTAGTCAATAGATTTTTTAGAATTTATTTTAAAATTTGTTTTAATATATTTAATATATTTATAAATAAACAATAAATTTGCTTTAATTTATATTATATTTATATTAATATTTTATTAATTATAATTATTATAATATTTTATTAATTATATTAATATTTTATTAAAATGTTTTGAACACACTCTTGCATTTGGACTAATCTGCTTGATGTTTAATGCAGATAACCACAATTTCTTTATGTGTTCTTTTTCTGGAACTCTGAAAATAATGATAATGTATTACTAGCTTTATATTGTATAATTCAATTATTATTATATTACAAAATATTTAAAATAATGTTCTAAATATCTCTTATTTGTAAAACGCATAATCTAACCTAACTTTTTATAATTTTACTTTACACAATTTTTATTACATACTATTACATATCTTAATTTTATTATATAATATATAATTTTAATATATATTTAACAAAACTATGCAAGTTACGTATATATAATATAATTATATACAGCTTTAAAACAATATGTTTAAAGAATGTGTTACAATAATGTCCTATAAAAAATACTTTTAATGTACTTACTTATGCATCTGTATATCCTTTTTATTTTTATCATACGTAATTTTGCACACAAAACACCTTAAAACCATTTTTTAATTTTTAAAGATAAAGATAAACGTTTCACGTTATTCCAAAGCGAGTAGGCGAAAGTGAGGTGTCAAAAATTTAATGCTATGTTACTGCTAGAATTCTGGAGGGGGACGAAATAACAAATCAGAAGCTTGCAAGAGAGACAAACATAGGCCTCAGATGTAGTACCTCTCACTCTAAAGCAGGCGCGCGTTTACATATCGCAATGCTCAGTCCATTCTATATGTCGATGTTTATTACAATGTTACCGTAGCAACAATTTTAGTTGAATCTGTACAGTCTGAACCTCTTCACATAGAAACAGCTCATGTGTGAATACACATCATCATCGCAATTTCTCTCCATGTTCCGTTTGGAAAAAAATTCATTTCTTTAAAAAGTAATATCTTTGAAACTAAACGGTAGAAAAAATTGATTTTTTTTTTAAATAATCCCACACTCATATTGTATACCCCACTGGTTTTTTATTAAAATCGTAAGATCCGTTCTATTGTTATATATTAAAATGTGATGAAAATGCCATCCTTTTACGTGGTGTATAGAAAAAATGCTATTTTTAATTGTAAATAACTGTTAAACTAAACGGTGAATCGACTTCAAAATTTCGTAATCGATAGATATTAACTCCGTCTACAACATATTAAAATTTCTAAAAATTCGTAAGAATTGTGAAAAACGATAGAACTACCTTAAGTTAGCTCTCTACAAATATATTATTCCGCGATCAGAGAAATGTACAATTAGATAAAACAGGTATTTTATACAAATACGTTTAAATTGACACATTTATAATTAGTCTTAGTGTATTTATTAGGATTTTAAGTAATTGTACTAACGATATAAATTTTGTGTTGAGAAAATCAGTTATTAGAAAATTTATGGTTATTACAGGTGAAAAATTAAAAAAAATTATTATTGCTAAATAATTAAATTGTTATATTAATATTTCTTATTTTACAGATATTTGACTATGGCTTCACCAGCACGGACCAGGGAGCACCTTTTATTAACCTTAACCTGCTCCCGTTGACAACAGCGAGTATTGCTGATAGACAATTCCCACATCATCCGGTAGTTTTTCAATTGAAAGAGAAGTTGTTGACTATAAAAAGACCAAACTACAGCAGTGAGGATTTCGAGAAACTTATCAAATCTGAAGTGAATGCAAGACCGAATGATGTCGCCCTTCCAATCAAATTGTTAAAATATTAATATACATATATATATCAGGCGCATATTCAAGATCTTTGAACCGCAAAGGGTGCATTCGTTTATGCAGTGATTAGCGCATCCACTGCGCATCCACTGCGTCTATTATCTGCGAGTCACGTGACATCATTTACCGAACGATCACCTGCGTGAATTGACTGCTCAGATTGTAATTGGAGTGCGTAAGTAAAGAAATTTTAAATAAATATGAATTAACTTAGAAATAAATATTTTTTATCGGCTCTCAATATAAACAATATAAATATGATGGTTTCTAAATCGGCCTAAGACCCATAGCACGAAAAATTACAAAAATTAATTATTCGGAACTGTATCTCTTGGTACGAGATTACTAAAGTTCCATATATTAATTAACCTCGAACTTACATATGGAGAAATAGGCGCGAAAAATATAGGTCCGAAAAGTCGCTGAAGCGGGAATCGAACCCGCGTCTTTCACTTTCCGGGCGACTGCTCTTACCACTAATAGCTATTTAGACTAAAAAATATTAAAGAGAGCCAAATCCGAATTGCTCATTATGTCGAATTTTCGTTCAAAAGAATGCCCTACTGCTTGCATGCATCCAGTGCACTGAACTGGCACCGTCAAAATATCTCGTGCCACTTAGTGCGCACTGAGTGCGCACTATGCGAGTGTTGTGCGTTCAAACGAACACGCAACACTAGTCAAGTGCGCATTGGCACTACCAATCGAACACGCGCCTGACATTCAGTGCAGCTAGTGCACCCCAATCGAAAACGCTATTAGTTACGGCTATCGGTCAACGCGTTGCTAAGGCCTCGAGCGCGAGTGGGGGTCGCTGGGCGGTGAATCTCGGAAATCGGCCGAAAAGAGCAAAATGTGGACAGCTCTGAAATAAGGTATGGATGGTGGAGAAGAGAGTAGAAGAGGGGTATGAGAGGAACGAAAGAGGAGGTAGTGGCAGAAGAAAGATACGAATTGTGGAGAAGTAGGAAGTAGGTTTTGTTTTTTGTTAAAGGAAGAAAAGGAAAAAGGAGGCGGAGGTAATTCGAAAGGACAAAGAAGAGAGAAAAAGAGGAGGAGAAAGTGACACTGGGAGGAAGAAGAGCATAGAATGTATGGAATTTAGTTATAGTAAGATCGCAAATCTATCTATATAATAATGCAGAATATTACACAAATTATTTAAAAATTATTATTATAAGTTATAAAATAATAGGCCAACTTAACGAGCTAGTTAGTATGGTGTTAACAATTTATTCTAAGTCATGAAAATAATACAATCAAAATGATAATTAGTAAACGTTTCGACTGTACGACAGTCTTTATCAATACAAATATCGTTTTGCTAACAAATCCATAAATCAAATAATTTGGAAAGACAGAACTTATATCATACACGTAAAATATATAGACTTAGGGTGCCGTCACATGAGGCGTAACTTGCGTACGCGTAACTTGCGGTAACTTACGCCGACCAATCACATCGTCTCATTTCAGTATCAGCTTCTGTCTAGTTATTTTATGCTTTGTACGCTATTATCGTTACGCCGAATTCAATTTCTGGCGGAAGAATAAACACTGATGCGTATTTGTAAAATAGTAAAGCACTTGAAGATCTTTGCCATCTAAAATCGCTTGTATTCATATATATATATATATATATATATATATATTACAGAAAATAGTACATAATTAATAAAATATCAAATAGCGCAAACATACCAATAAAAGTGCATCAGTTGATTGTCTGCTAATATATTCTTATAAATAGACTTCGATCAATCATGCATTTACCATGATTCACAACGTCTTGAATGCCAGATTGCAAAGGGTGATTTCAGCGTAGCTGGGAATAATCGCAGCAGCATCACCCGTTGCCATATCCTGTGGAATATTCAAATATACAATAATTACAACATTATGAATCAGAGAGGACATATGTTGCACAAATTCTTGAAAAATTGTATCATTAGTTAATTGAAAAACATAACGAGTTGTCGCTGATCTGAACGGACAGACGTTGTTGATTGTGAAACGCCACAAACGTATTGGTTTCGTCTATGTCGTGAATTGATGGTACTACAGCAACGCGTTGACCACCAGACTTTCCACATCCAGCTGAACACAAATGGTGGAGAAGGTGCCCGGAGTTCGCGGCGCAACTCAAACTTTCCTCGAAATCCGTTAGTAATTTGTTGTCGTCGTTCTCACTGCTGCCTAAATCAGGTTTCTTTGTAGGTGAGCACCACAGGCCAAAATTATTTCTGTGCAAATGTCTGGTGTAGAATTTAAGAGGACAAAAGAGACGATGAGAAGAGAAGACAAAAATTAGACAAAAAGGACATCTGCATTAATCTTTTTATGGGACCCAGAAGGTTAAATTTAATATGATTATTAGAAATACAATAGATTATTACCTTAAAAATCGATCAATCGACCATTTTCGGCAGGGTATCAACTGTTCTGACCTATTTCAGATGGTGCTTGAACCATGTATACGTTTTGATATGTTTCTTTAATTTCGCTTTTTAGGAATAGTTATTGACACATTGCATATATCAGGGTTGGGTATATCGATCTAATTATATATTAGAAGAAGTTGTTCACAATTTTTCTTCACCACACAATAATCATTACTCTTAATCAGATTCAGTAGTCGGTTTTGAGCCATTGTAGTTTGTTTAGGCATGGAAAGAGTCGGGATAGAACTGGGGGTCGATTGTGTATCTCAAAACCTAGTGAAAATGACAAAAGTGAGCATTCAGTTGATTGGCTAATTTTCACTATAGTGAAAACACGAAATATTTCACGTGAGATTATTCGACAAGAATTATTGTGTCGAATAATGTCAAAATGTGTCGTATATCCTACTGCATTATATGTTATGTAGAGTAGAGCGCGATTAAAATACGTATTAAAATACGTATTAAAAGAGAGGACATTACATTATACACCAGAATTTGCTGGTATGTAAATAATTATAGTGCATAATTGAGATAAGAAAAGGTATTTTTAAATCTATTCTTTACAGCTCTAATTGTAAATGCATGTTGTGTTTTACATAATATTGCTTATAAATGGAGAATTCCATTAAATGAAGTATATTTGGAGGAAAAAGGAGAAGTGCCGATACCATTTAATGATATAAATATAATGCAAGCAGAAGAAGTACGAATTAAGAAATATTGTGCGATGGTATTTTGAATAGGATATATATATATATATATATATATATATATATATATATATATTATATATATATATCACATAAATTGTATCGCATAAAATTAGTACATTTCATAATCTTATAATAAATTAATAATTAAGATTATCACAGTACATTTCTTAACTTTATAATAAAAGATTTTTAAACACTATTTTTTTATTAATGTATTATTTTATATCAATTCTCATAACACGTCGCGTCAATTTTATTCAAGCATGTTCAAAAATGTATCCGCCCCCGACCGAAATCCGAATGTTTATTCATAAAATTTAACATAATTTTTTTTGTTTCTCTGTAACATTCATTCTTATTCACACCGTTCAAACTGCAGAGGTTATAAAGATAAAGGTATCACTGAAACATATATGCATGCATATACGCTTTACGGAATGTTCACTATGGTTTGTGCTCCCGTGAATCTAGAGATATCGTATTTTCATCTTGCTCATAGCCAATCGCGTGTATTTCTTCACGTGAAATGAATGTGCAAAAAGTGAGAAAAATCGACACAAATAGACAATCGATCCCCTGTTCATTGATTGTTTTTTTCTTGCGTTTTTATGACACTTGCAATCTTCGGTCTGTATGGAACATTATTAACATGTGATTTCCTCTGTTGAATAAGATAGCGCCATTATTTCCTGCCGAAAATCATTTTTGCAATATATTGTTTAAATAATCCTGAGCACATAAATAATTTCTGAGCACATAATAAAAGAAAATCATACTATGGATTAGGAAAACGTAAAAATTCTAGATAGAGAATGTAATTATATATCATAAGAGACTTGTCTCTGAAATGTTACATATCGAGGAACAAAAAAACGGCCTAAATTCTAACAAAAATACCGGTTGCTGAGCGAATCTTATTTTGATTTAAACATGTTAGCAAACATAAGATAGATAATATACAAGACAAATAGGACATCAACAATTTATACATACGTAATCTCAATATATATAAACGCACTCAATTTTGTGATTTGACACAGTTTGGAGATGAAGTATCTTACCATACAGTTAGTATATCGTTCCATCTAAAAAACGTGAATTTAGTGATGAGGGACATACAAGTAACCCACACAACACATGGACGTAATTACAACATAATTTGGATGTCCGAAGCGAGCACCAAGGACATCCGATGGACGTCCCGTGTACATCCTGTGGATGTATTAAGGATGTCCTATGTTCCGCCTAACAACATCCATAGGCTATAAATGGGACGTCCAGCGGATATCCTTAGTGCTTACTACGGACATCCAAAGTATGTAATTATGTGGATATAATGACTGCATTCAACAGAAAAAGAGCACAATGGCCAGTATTCATAGTCAGATCTTATATTTAAGATCGTCTTAAGATCTCGTTCAACCAATCAAATGACGTTATACGGCTATTTGATTGGTTAAACGAGATCTTAAGACGATCTTAAATATAAGATCTGACTATGAATACCGGCCAATGAGTGCTTATTAATTCTTTAATGTGATTAGTTTCTATGTTTAGATCCAACGAAGAACTAAAGGAAATAATCACATTAAAGAATCAACAGTCGCCGCATGAGCTGCTTTTTCTGCTGAACGCAACAAATGTTTCAATAATGCTCATTGAAAACTATTAAGACCATATTATATATTTAGATAGTTAGAATTTATTTAAATCAATAAAATACATGTATATAATTTTTGCAATATTATCTTAAGTATACTACTTTCAGCATTATAACCAGTAGCTCATCAAAATTATCAATATGTTTATTTATAAAATTTATGTTAGTGTAACAAAAACAAAATAATATATTACTGACGTGCTATTTTTTATATGTTCACGCAGTTTACTTAGTATAAAAAAAATTAAAATAAAAACTCCAATTAAAGTGTTCAAAGTTAACGTATACAATTATGTGTAAATTTTTATAAACTTTCAGTGTTTTTGTCAATTTAAATTCCTTTATCATTTCTAGAGTAGTAAAATATGAAAATAACCCATGCATTACTGTTTTCAGAATTCTAGAGTACGTTATATAGTTCAATTTTTACATCTATGAAAATTTTATCATAGAAAGTTTCGGCTATCGACTTATGAAGAATAATAAATTGTTAACATATTGATATTTTATTTATTAATCAAGCTCTAGGCTAAACTTTTTGTAAACTTGTTACTGTGTTTTATACATAATTACATGCGTTAACTGTGAACTATATACTATATAAACAAAGTAAGCAACAAAAGAATGCATTACAATATATTATACAAACAAAATAATCAATAAAAGATATGCATTGCTATACTATACAAACAAAGTAAACAGTGTTAATATAAATAAAAAAAAATGCATTATTATGCTTAACAAAATAAGCTATAAAAGAAAGTTTTTTTTCATCAAATGTGATCATATTTCACATTACTCTACCTTTAAACTTGCAATTTATTGCCATTTTTAAAAAACTAAAAAACAAAAATAAAATATTAAAAATGACACGTAAAAATAATAACATTAATTGTTTGTCAGATACTTTTATGTATCACTATTATTGTCTTCCGGATTTTTGGAGATCCTCTCAGATGAACGGCGGAACCAATTAATTATTGCTAACTCTATGTTCCTATCATCAATTTTAAAATGCTGCTTTACAGAATCTGTTAACAAAAAGTTACAAATATTATATAATACATAATATACATTCCACTTTTGTCATTAATTATTAAATATACATATGATATTTACCAAATAATACACATGAAACTAGAGTTCCATCAAATTTTTCATTATTTTTAGTCCTTGCCAGGATATTTTTTTGGCTAGACATGGCTCAAACATAGCTCGCAGTATTCGTCGAATATGCTCACCACCATTTTTTCCTCCACGATTGAAAAACATGTTTTTCTGAATCAAAGATTTAATTCAACCTGTAGCGTCGAATCTCATTTTTAAGATTGTTACTTCATTTGATTACTTACAAGCTGTTCACGCGCAGTCTTGCTGTTTGACAATAATGTTTCAAGTTCCTGCCAATTATTTAACGTTTTTAACGGAAAATCTGGTAAAATGTTTGTCAATTCTTCTTCCTGTGCGTTTCGGATATTTCTTTGAGGACATTTCTTGACATCTGGTGTATTGCGTAAATACTTCTCTTCATAAATTTTTTCAACAACATCATGAATTTCTCTGACGTCAATTTGTAATCGTGTTATGCTACAAAGTATTCGCTTTTCGAATTCTAAACAAGAAATTATGTAATATTCATAAAATATTAACAATTATAAATACTTAGCTTTTTCTGATAAATAAATACGTGAGCTGCTTTGACCAAGTTTATATTAATTAATCGACGATTAACTTACAGTATTATATATATCAACAGAATTTTTAATGTAATCGTCTTTCTCTTTTTCTAATGTCAAATATGTTTTACTTTTTATATTGGCAACTCTGTGTAATCATCGATTAATTTATTGGAGCTTGATTGAATTGGTCTTTAATGAGGTGTTTGTTATATATTGTATCAGAATAGATATTTTACCAGTTTCACCAATATATGATGACGTCTGGAATTTCAGTTTACTAATCGACGAATTTGCTCGTTGATCTTCTTGATTATCCCACATACTGCATTCTTGACGAGTATTGTCTAAAGTAGAAACAAAAATTTACTGTTTTTTATGATTCAATATTTCAAAAGAAACAATATCATTTAAAAAAATTTCAATTAAAACTTTTAAAATATTATAAAATGTATTCATATACGTATAAATATATGTCAGTTTCATCTCGAAATGTCCAATTAAAAATTTTTTAATTTATTCGATTTAATTTTTTCATTCATTTACGATTTTAAACTAGATAATGTGATAAAACTAGATTAAATTATGACTGTTTACTGTAACTCCGAATTCAATTTAATATTACTAGCTAATTCATTTATAATGTCCTGAAATCTTTATATGAAACTTTTTTTTCAAAACTGATTATTTTTGAAAGCGTGGCATCTCGGATTTCACTGTTTATTTTAAGAAATGTGTGTATATATTTTATAGATAATTTGTTGATTCTCTAATCATTTTTGGATTTTATAAAAAAAATTGTGATTTTGAGTTTGATTCATAATTTATGTTAATCTATTATTAAAGTTCTATCTATTATTTTTATATTATTTATTTATTTTTATATTTACATTATATTATATTTTTATATTATATTTATTATTATTTATAGTATATCTATTTATAGTATTTATTATTGTTAAAGTTTTACTTTTTTAAATGTAACGTTATCAGTAAATTTTGAACTTCTATTAACGCCTTAGAAAATAAGTAAGTTAATTATACTTTTACCTTCAGCAACATGTTTACGATAATCTTCTGATGATGAAGAATAAGATGACTTGGGCAAAGTTGCACTCTTTTTTGTCGGTGCTTCATAGGAAGGAAGAATTGCCTTCTGCACTTGTTTGTGTTTATCTTCGAAAGCTTTAGGTAATTGAATATTTGATTTATTTGGCCTTCTATTTTCTTTTTGTTCGTTTGATGAATTGCTTGAATCTGACACATATATGGAAGTCTTGGTAACCGACTGATTATGCGAGGAACCTGGTTTCTTCTTTTTAATGTTCACTTCATCGCTCAATGAATCATCGTCACTGAAATATCGAGGATTACGTTTATGTGATCGTTTGCTAGATTGAACATTTTTCGACGGAAAATCCGACAAAACTTCAGCCTCTTTTAAATTTAAACGAGCTGTGTCGTAATCATCTGAAAAGTGATTACGATTATGTTATTTTCAATTCATGTAAATGGACGCAAAAATTAACTATTTGAACATTTAGAAGCAGTAAATTTACTAAACACATATTTCAAAATTTTCTTTATGATAAATATCATTAACTGTATTTTAAATTGCATACCAAATGTGCCAAGAATTCTGCATTGATAAACTGGCCAATCTTGATGAGGAATTGTTCTTCGAATAACACTCTTTGCTGGAAAAGATGTATTAGGCCACTGACATTGCAATATTCCGGCTGATTCCTTAATCCAAAAATCTGGTACAACCTCTACAGTATCTTCTTCCATAAAATGAACGATGCAAAATTTTGATGAAGTCATCTCTGAGGAGCCGTATATTTACATATTAAACATTTTCTTGACTATGAATAAGTGGAAAAATTACAATATTGCGGCGGTGTTCAGATTGATAACGTTCATCAAAAATAGGTAAAACGACGGCTTTGTTTTTTAATTAATTGAAAATGCTCGCAGGGAACTGTATATATTGGAAAATTGCACAATTCCAAAGCAAGTGGAAGGCGCAGGAGAAGTAAAGAAAGATGTTCCATTTTTCAACATTTTTCCAATAACTACGATATCATTATTCATATGACATATATTTTGTACCATAACAATGCTCTCATCAGTCATAATGCAGTAATTATTAGGAGTTTTTGTAGTAATTGTAAAATGTTTAAATTTGATCTTCTTGTACATAGGCGATCTGCATCCATTTATCAAACA